GCTTAGGTCATGATCTCGCGGTTCGTGGGTTCGAGCCCCGCGTCGGGCTCTGTGCTGACTGCCAGCTCAGAGCCTGGAGCCTGTTTCAGTCTGTGACTCCCTCTCTCTCTGACCCTCCCCTGCTCGCGCTGTCTCTCTCTCTCTCCTAGAAATAATAAAACATTAAAAAAAATTAAAAAAAAAAAAGAAAAGAGGCAAAGAGAGAAAGAGAAGAAAGGGACATAGATCCATCAGGGAGGGACCATAAAAAATCACAGTCACATGGTAGATTAAAACCCAAGGATATGTCTAATTTTATTACATGTAAATGGATTTAATGTTCCAATGAAAGCACAAAGTTGGTCTGGGTAGTTTTGAAAATACCCAGTACATGCTGCTCACAGAGGTACACTTGACCCCTGAGGCTACATGAAGGTTGGAGCAAAACAATGGGTGACGGCAAGTCATGGAATCTTTGAAACAATGAATCTTACGTAATTACATCATCAACAGACAAAACAAATCACACAGGCTGGTCCTCCAATCACAATGCAGTTATGCTTTAAACTGTTAACAAAAACCCAGAAAATACTGCGTTTGAAAATAAAGAAATATTTTTTCTAAATAACTCACGGGTCACAGCAGAAATCAAAACGGGCATCATAGCCCACGTGAACCAGATGGAAACAGACTATGTATCAGCTGAGCCACGCTTGGAACTTACGGGTTTACCTTCACGTATTAAAACAAGAAAAGATTCAGCATTAATGAATGAGGCATACATCAAAGGAAGTTATAGAAAGAAGGCGAATAAATCGCCCCAAAATAGAATAAAGGAGCAAGAAAGGAGGAGAAAGAGGAGGGAACAATAATAAAAGAGCAGGCCTGAGGGATGCAGAGCCGGGCTTACCGGAAATAGTTATTTGCTGGGAAACACTAACAGGCGTGTGACTCCGGGGGGACCAGCCAGGGTAGAAGGAGGCGTGAGGAGCCGGGCCAGCAGTGGGAAGAACCTGGTCTGAGGGGTTGCGGAGCCTGACCCTTCGCGGGCCAGTGTTAGGAGGTGGGGGCGCTGGGTCCCTAAGAGTGACACGCAAGAAGGGGACTCCAGTCCTTTTCAAAGAGGCTGCAGAGGCCCCTAAGCCCTGGGGCAGGTGCCGCCGCCTCCGGGAGGGGCCTGGGAGCCGGGGAGGTGGCCGGGCCCTGAACCTGGGCATGGCCTGACCTCAGAGTCCCGGGGGTCCGTGGGTTAGCCATCCAAACTGTGGTGTTTTGTCACAGCAGCCCAAACAGACGACGACAGGCCCGACGGAGGTTTATAACACAACACAAGGATTTTGCTATCACCTTTAACAGAAAAATTAGAAAATTGAAGTGATGGAGGTAAATCATCCATCCATAGCTCCTCAAAAACCGTTACAAGGAAAAACGAACACAGGAAGCTCGGATTGTTCTTGGTGAAAAGTTTTACTCGGACTTGACCGCAGGGCGGGTCTGCGCCCTGCAGACGTGCCCTCGGGGGTCGTGTGCGGCCCGACTCACAGGTGCCACAGGTGCCGCGCCGGGCTCTCGGCACCGAGGTGTCTCCTGCCGGCGGCGAGGGCTCCCCTCCCCCAGCCCCGCCTCCGGAACCACAGAGCCGAGCTCCTTTCCCGCGAGTTTGGTTTTTCTTTTCTTTATTCTCCCTCTTGGTTTAGATTCCACATGCAAGCGAGAGCGCGCGGTGCTTGCGCTTCACCGGTGACCCCCCTTCTTCGTGGCCCAGCAACACCCCCGTACCCCCGCCCCCCCGCCCCCAGCATCCACCGCATGCGCTTTCTTCGTTCGTCCACCCTGGGACGCGCCAGGCCCAGGTCTTGGCTGTTGCGTAACACACTGCTGCGGTCTCGGGGTGCAGGGCAGCGACCGAGATGGAATCACAGAGTCTGTGGCTTTTTCCACGCCGCCTGCCGCCCCGAGAACCGCCCCTCCCTCGCCTCCCGGGACACACGTCTCCCGCTGACAAGGTTCCTTAACCCCCACGTGGTGAATCGCGGCTGGATTGTTTCCACTTCGGGGGATGTTACAAACAAAGCTGCCATCAAATAGCCATGACCCATGTTTACCCTCTCCTGTGTCACAGGACGAAGCGTGTCTGAGTCTCACCCGCAGGGCTGCAGGCTGACTGTGCTTGGAGGTGGGTCTTTGCGGAGGTGATTGAGGTAAAGGAGGGCGCTGGGGGCCCTGGGCCAGGCTCACTGGTGTCCTCACAGGAAGGGGAGAGCAGGACACACACCCACACTGGGGGGGGGCGGCGACCACATGAGGACACAGGGAGGGGACCCCATCCCGGAGAGGCCTCAGGAGGACCCACCCTGCGCCCTGCGAGCCTGGGTCTCTGTCTCAGGCTGGCGGTGCGACAAACCCTACACTGTTTTTTCCTGCGGTGCTGCAAACCCCACACCCCAGGGAGCAGCTAGGGGGGTCTCCCACTCTCTGCACCTGGTCACAGATCCCAGCTGGGTGAAGGGAGGGGTAGAGGAGCAGGCCTGTGAGGGGGTCGGGGAAGGGAGGGCCTGGGCAGCCGTGGGTGAAGGGTTTCTTGCTCTGACCTCACCCCAGGCTTGGATGGAGAGTCAGGGGTGAGTGAGGGCTGGGACGCCCTGCCCCGTTGCAGCAGGAGAGAGGCCCAATAAAGACGGCTGGCCTGATCCAGGCCACACCAAGTATGCCCTGGTGGGGGGGGCACGACTTACCCACCTGCCTCACTCGTGCTGCCGCCTCTGATCCTGCTGGCTTGGCCGGGTGAGCCATGGACATCCTTGCTCTGGGTACCCCGGTCCCTGAGAACCCTGGCTGCCATCCTGAGGGCTGTGAGCTGACCTGCTGCCCAGAGTGGGGATGCCAGGGCGCACAGAGGAAAGAGCTTGCTGGAAGCCCCCAGCACCCCGGGTCTGCTTCTAGCTCCGACATGCCCACACCCCTCTGCCTTGGCCCGATTCACCCAGAGGTGTTGCTGGACCTATTATTGCTTTTGAGCCCTGGAAGTTGTGTTCCGTGCGGCTGGTGGGCATCCCCGGAGATGCTGTGAGGGCTGAGGGGCTGGGCTCCCTGGGGCCAGGACTTCTGCCTGTTCGTAGATTCCCCACCTCGGGGTTTCGTGGTGTTCTCTCCAGAAAGCGACCGCAGGGCCTACATCCCAGTGGCTTCGGGGTGTGCCCACGGGGCGGTGGTGGTCACAGGGCTTCCCTGCCTGGGTGGATTCCCTGCCTGGGCTGCCCCCCCGCGGCGTCCCTCCCACCAGCTCTGTCTCCCTGGTCCAGGCAGCCCTTACAGCTTGCATCCTGCAGGGAGAACACGTGCTCGGGGAGGGGTGAACACCACGTTCTAAAGGGACATGGGCAGGGCAGCTTGCAGTGAGCACAGGGTCCCCAGCGACCGGTGCCATTGGAAGGGTCCGAGAAGACTCCATTTCTTTCCTCTTCTTTTCTTTTCTAAAAAGACTTTATTTTCAAATAATCTTTACATGTGGGGCTCAAACTCATGACCCCAAGATCAAGCGTCAAGTGCTCCACTGACTGAGCCCTTCAGGCACCCCGAGAATCCAGGTCACACGACTGCGTCAGCCACACACTGCCTGGACCTCGGTCCTCTCCTCCCTAAATGGGAATGAGACCATAGTGCCACCCCAAGGTCCTCAGGATGAGTGACAGGGAGGGTCCGTGGGGCCACTGCATGCGGTGTGTGACTCAGGGAGGTCTCAGTTTATAGGACAGATGGTTGTGATGACTGCAGGGGGGGTATAGGCTGCATGGAAAGGAAGAAGGAGAAGAGTGGGGTAGTGTGTATAAGACTTGACCCTGCCCACACTCTGGGCCCTGACCAAGCTCACACCCTGACCCCTGACCCAGCTCACACCTGACCTCTGACCCTGCTCACACTCTGGGCCCTGACCCTGCTCACACCCCGACCTCTGACCCTGCTCATACTCTGGGCCCTGACCCTGCTCACACCCTGACCCCTGACCCTGCTCACACTCTGAGCCCTGACCCTGCTCACATTCTAGGCCTGACACTGGGTATATGCAGTGCTCTGATCCCACTTACCTGTTCTTGTGCATCCCCATAGGATGGGAGAGTAATCTGGAAGGCTCAGGGCAGGCTGTTGGGACCACCAACAAGACTCCAAGAGAGAACAGACGCAAATGTGGGGCATTACAAGCACCTCGTGGATGTGTCTGAGGCTGCTCTTGCTGCTGTCCAGGGTGCTGCACCCTCCTGAGGCCCCGGACTTGGCCACCCGCTGATCCCGTCCCGAGGCCCCATCCGCCTCCCCTCGCTGCCTCCACGCCCAGGCCTGTAGCCTCTGTCAGTTTCTTAATCTTCTGAAAAATGGCTGTTTCTTCTCTTTGTCCCATCCCTCTCTCTTGAATTTGTGTGTTCAGATATGTACAGATTGCATTTTTGATTACTACCTTTCAATACCTTTCTCAAATTGGGATGACTAGGTCAGAGGCTAAGAACCAGTTTCAAGGTTTGGGCATAGATTAGCCTACTGCCTTCTAGAAGAATCCACAGCTGTCTGCAGTTTTCCTCGGTGTGCAATCCTAACTCTGCACCACACTGGGTTCTATGACTGAAAACCAAATAAAACAGAAGGCAGGGGCTGGGTGAAGCTATGCCTCCTTGTTGTTTGAAATTCTTACTGCCAGTGGGGCTGAGCCCTGGAGAGAGCATCGTGGTCATTTTCATGCGTTTGCTTGTGAGTCACCAGCCCCTACTTCCTATTTGCCTACATGGCAATTTTAACAATTGCTTATATATTAAAGATAAAAGTCCTCTGTCATATTTTTTCTCAGTTTTCCATATCCTTGTACACTTTGTTTATGCATAAAATTGGCTTTTTTTTTTTTTTAAATCATGGGAAATATAAAGCCTTTCCTTAAATGCTCAGGAAGTCCCTCCCACAGCAAAAGCAGATTCATTGGCAGCCGAGTGGCTTCACAGAACTCCCATCCATCTGGGTCTCGATGACAAAGTGAGGGGGGCCCCTCCCGGCCCCCACCCTCACTACCCATGGTGCGTGGAGCATCGTGTTTCCGGCTGGAGACGGCATGGCTCTGGGTGGGAATTCCTTCCTTCCTCTGTGCTCTGACGCCGGGTGTGGGGGCACAGACAGCTCACGGGCTCAGGCTGGCCCTCGCTTTCCAGCCAGTAGCCTGAAATGCCCAGATGTGACATGAAGTTGGAAAAATGAGTCATTAAAATAAAAGGCTACAATGGCCCCAGAAAGGTCAAAAGTGGACAAACAGGTAAAAATGTAACACCACACACTCTTGGAATGGACCTCAGCTCTTGTGGTTGCTGTAAATTCGGCAAGCTGGATTTTTACCACTGGTCAATCCACAAGGACTTTACTTTCTAGAACTTGACCGCCAGCCCCACCTGCTGGTGGAGGGGAGGGACAGGACAGTCCTGCCCTTGGGAACAAGGGCAAGTGGAGGCTTGAAGACCCACCTGCACTTTCTGCCCCTGGCCTGGCTGTCAAACCAGACTCCCTCCTGCCCTGGACGCAGCCGACCCCTTTGGCCCTCACTGGAGGCCACACCCAAAGGGCACCCTTGGGAAAAGCAGGCGGGGAGGGCCTGGTGCCAGGACAAGAGGCTTCCAGGGGTCTCTGCTGTGTCCCGCCTCCCCCCCAGCACCATGCAGTTCTTCTACTTGACTACCGTTCCCTACGCACCTGCCCGCACCTGGCCCAGAGCACCAGTGTGTGTGGGGGGGTGACGCCCCTACCCCCAAGGAGCTCACTCACACAAGCGGGTCACCAACCCAGTGATGGGTGCTGGGAAAAACCTGGTGAGAAGTCACTCGTGGGAAGGGTACCGAGACATCACACTTTGTCTGTCTTCCCTTGGGTCCTTTTACCAGGAGGGGCGGTGCAAGGGCTGAGCCCATGGTAACGATTTAGGGAGGGACTTCCAGCCCCTTTCTGAACATTTACCCACCGCGTACTTACTTCTGTCCATCCGCACGTTAATTTATGGAGTCAATGGGGTTGTAATATGCCTTCATTTGATTTTATTTTTATGTGTCTTGATTTTAAAAACTGACATGTCTTAGAAATACTTTAGGGGCGCCTGGGTGGCTTAGTCGGTTAAGCGTCCGACTTTCGCTTAGGTCATGATCTCGCGGTTCGTGGGTTCGAGCCCCGCGTCGGGCCCTGTGCTGACTGCCAGCTCGGAGCCTGGAGCCTGTTTCGGTCTGTGACTCCCTCTCTCTCTGACCCTCCCCTGCTCACGCTGTCTCTCTCTCTCTCCTAGAAATAAATAAAACATTAAAAAAAAAAAAAAAGAAATACTTTAACTTCAGGGCCCAAAACTACACCCATGTCTTTAAAAAATTTTAATGTTTATTTCTTTTTGAGAGAGAGTGCATTTGGGGCAGGGGCAGAGAGAGCGAGAGAGAGAATCCCAAGCAGGCTCTGCACTGTCAGCACAGAGCCCGATGCAAGGCTCTAACCCACGAACCATGAGATCATGAGCCAAGAGGAAACCAAGAGTTGGACACTTAACAGACTGAGCCACCAGGTGCCCGTCTTTTATTACACATTTGATCTTCCAGGTGGGTGTCACACACACATAAATTCTGTTGGGAAAGTATTTGGAGTGTGTTTAAATTTAATGATTGGGGAAACTGACAAGTCAATTGACAATCTTTTCATGCAGAAACATGGTGGTCGCTCCAATTTTAGTGTTTTGTTACACTCTTGCAATAATTTTCTATTTAAGGGGATTGCACATATACTGAATTACTCTAGAGATAATTGTTTCTATTGTGACTGATTAAACATTTTTTTTAATGTTTTATTTATTTCTGAGAGAGAGAGACAATGCGAGCAGGGGAGGGTCAGAGAGAGAGGGAGATACAGAATCTGAAACAGGTTCCAGGCTCTGAGCTGTCAGCACAGAGCCTCACGCGAGGCTCGAACCCACGAACTGTGAGATCATGACCTGAGCCGAAGTTGGACGCTTAACAGACTGAGCCACCCAGGCGCCCCATATTGTGACTGGTTTTATTTTTACTTTTTTAAAATGTTTATTTTTGAAAGACAAAGAGACAGAGCATGAACAAAGGAGGGGCAGAGAGAGAGGGAGACACAGAATCGGAAGCAGGCTCCAGGCTCTGAGCTGTCAGCACAGAGCCCAATGCAGGGCTCAAACCTACCAACTGTGAGATCATGACTTGAGCCAAAATCAAGTGCTTAATCCATCAGCCACCCCGGGGCCCCTATTGTGACTGATTTTAAAAGTCATAATGTTTGAGTGCTTATTGCTGGTACAGAGGAAAGTTTGTGATTTTTGTTTGCTGTTCTTACTACTTGAATGTCAAGTGTATGAATGAGTAAGGTAGGTATGTGTGTACGATGCAGATACGCATGTGTGTAAGAATGCATGCAAACATGTACATGCATGTGTGTGTTTGAAGAGGAGAGGCTTAGGGACGTTTGCAAGTTGGTGGAAGTTCTCCAGCCCAGAGGCTGTGGTCAAATACGTGAGAGGGGGTGCGCTTGGCGCTGTGGAGACCCCAGGAGGCCGCACGGCCGCTGGAGCCCCGCTGAGTCCTGCTGGCCCGGTGGGATTTGTGCTGTATTGTTAGGGGTTCACGGAATCCCAGTGACTCCGTCTCACCTACAGAAGGTAGTTTCTCGGACTCTTTTCTGCTATTTTTTAAGTTTTCCAAGTTCACTGTTAAGAGTTGCTGGTTCGGGAAGTAATTTGCAGGTCTCCGATGGTGGGGTCCCTGGGGGCTCAGGGCTTTGGCGTGGAAAGGAACGCTTTCTGCTTTCTTCATTGTTGGTTTTCGCCTACTTGTCAGGCGCATCGTGAGGGACGTTCGTGATCTACCAACTTCACATCCATCTAAGAGGTGGTGGACATTAGCCTTGTGACACTGTAAAGTTAGGAAGTGGTCCCCGGCCCCTCAGGTAGGATCACCCTCCGGAGGACCCCCAGCGCTCCCGGGAGGCGTCATGCTCAAGGTTATGGTTAACACAGGGAAAGGACTCGCCACCATTGGCCAGGGCAAGGGGCTCATGGGGCAGGGCCCAGGAGGGTGCGAACCGTCCCCTCCCCGCGGGGTCATGGGCAGCGTCGGCTCCCTGGGCAGTGACGAGATGGCGCGCCCCAGTGTCGCCAACGGGAAAGCCCCGAGCCCCCACGCCCAAGGCCTTTGTCTGGCTTCCGTCCTGTAGAGCTGGTTCACTGCCCGCGTGGCTGACCTCAGTCTCCAGCCCCTCAGGAGGCCGAGCCGATGCCGTGTGGCCCAGAGCCCCCGGGGGACAAACACACTGGACTCAGAATGTTCTGGGCTCGGCAGTGACCTCCCAGCAGCTGAGGGCAGAGGCAGACCTCCCTTGAATAAGGTTAAGTTGTTTTTACTCACAAGGACCCACTTCCTGCTCCCGTGGCGCACAAGCAGCCCCCTTCCTGTCCTGCAGCGGGTTCGGGGGACCTGGCCAAGACCTGGCTTGGAACTCAGTGTCACCACAGTCCCTGCTGGATAACCGCCTGGCTGTGTCCCTCCCACATTCAGATGTTGCAGCTCTAACCCTCAGGACCTCAGGAGACTGTGTTTGGAGATGGGCCTTTAAAGAGGTGATTAAACGGGGTCCTATGGATAGCCCATTAACTAATATAATTGGTGTCCTTGTAAGAAGGGGAAATTAGAACACAGACATCCACTGGGGTCGACTGCATGAGGACACAGGAGAGAGACGTAACCACATGCCAGGGGGAGGCCTCAGGAGGAGCCGGCTGGGGGGTCTCGGACTTCCAGCAGCCACAGCCGGGACACAGTAAAGGCCCGGTGGCACTTTGTCACAGCCATCCGAGCAGATGCGTACACAGACTCTGGCCGAGTCCCTTTACCAGACAGAGGAGAGTGACCGGGACACCTGCATCTCACTCTGGCTTCCGTTTCAGGACTGAAGGAAGTGAGAGCCCGCATGCACCCCGACTTCTCCCCCACCGCGTAGTAGCTGCTTTGTGGAAGCCCCACCTCTCCCAGTGCATAGGGGGGGCCCCGAGGTGGGGTGCGAGCCAGGGGCCCATGAAGAACACCTTCCTGCCTTTGCGCCACCCTCTGCCTCGCCCTAGTCAGGGGTCTGAGTTCCAGTTGCGGGAGTGTGGAAAAGCTCGCTGCCTGAGCCTGGCCGCCCGGGCTTCGTCCCCATTGCCTGGGAGGCAGCCAGAGCCCAACAGGCCACGGTGCCCTGGCCGGTGGGGACTGTGAGCACCTCCTCCCCAAGGGGCACCCAGATCACCCCCCCGCCCAGCACCCTGAGTACTTCCTGTCCAGCTGTTGCAGTGATTGCACACTGCGGTTTTAATGGTTTCGCTCAGAGGAAGGAGTCATTTCCCCAGATACTTGGACCCAACGCAGGACGCAGCCCCCCTGTTCTCCAGGGCCACATGGCCCACAGCTGGGTTCAGGTCTGGTTCTCTTAATAATTCCCTTCTGTTTTTAAAATGTTATTTATGTATTTATTTTTGGAGAGAGAGAGAGCGAGAGAGCAAGCAGGGGAGGGGCAGACAGAGAGGGAGACACAGAATCCGAGGCAGGCTCCAGGCTCTGAGCTGTTAGCACAGAGCTCAACATGGGGCCAAAACTCACAAACTGTGAGATCATGACCTGAGCTGAGGTCATACGCTTAACCAACTGAGCCTCCCAGGCGAACCTTAACGTTTTTATTTATTTTGAGAGAGAGAGAGAAAGCGCTAGCGCAGGTGAGTGCATGTGCGAGTTGGGGAGGGGCAGAGGGAGAGAGAGAATCCCAAGCTAACTCCTCAATGTCAGCTCAGAGCCCGACGCGGGGCTCGAACCCACAAATCGTGAGGTTCTGACCTGAGCCAAAATCAAGAATCTGGTGCTGAAGTGACTGAACCCCTCCAGGCGCCCCTGGGGTCTGGCTCTCTTGGAGCAGACCTGAGGCAGGACTCACGTTCACGAACGTTATGCCAGAGGCGTACCGGGGGGAGCAGTGGGGGGGGGCAGCTGGACCGGGACATGAGGGGCCACAGGAAGGGCACAGTGCAGGCAGAACCCCAGCCTCACCAGGGGCTCTGGGGTGTAAGTCAGGCTTCAGGCTCTGTGTTCCCGAGCTGTGTCCTGGCTGTACCAGAAAGACCCCGTGAGGTCCCCTGCATCGGCGTGTGGGGCAAGGCGTCACTTGATGGCCTTGAGGGTTCAGGGTGAGTGGGCGTGGTCCCCTGTGGCCACCCTGTGGTCCGCCACTTCCTCTGCTCTGTCCTCAGTGTATGTGCTCCGACAGGCTTGATGGAGCAGGGGCTCAGGGGCCTGGGTGGAAACAGGGTGATTGTCGGAAAAACCACCCAACGCCCGAATAGATGCGAGGCAAGATTTTATTCACAGGCCGGGCCACACCTGATCTCCTGATCTTAAGGAGAAAAATGCAGAGAATGGCCCTGAGCAAAGGTTGTGGTGAGCTTATATGGATTTAAACAGGGCCGAACAAGTCGTCATTTAATCAGTTACATCTTGCAGCATTCCCCGGCAACCAGTTACATTGTGACACATAGTTGCTAGTTTTTGGTGGAAACCTATCATTTCAGAGTGCTTTGTCTTCAGAGGTTTCGAAATGACCAATTATAGATAGACATTTGAGAAACCGTGGGGTAGTGACTAGGTGACAGACCACCTGACGCCGGACGGTAACGAGGTGTTCGTAGCCTTTGCGTACAGGGTGTGGGCACCGAACAGGGAAGCACGAGCTCGCTTGGCGGCTTTACAGAAGCAGAAATAGCATGTGAGTATTTAACCGCGCTTGAGGTCAACCTACGACGTGGGTGTCCTGAGCTGTGCTTGCCTCACTCATGTCCCACACCTCGGGGTCCCAGGGAGGCTCCCCGGAGGGTGACAAGGACACTGGCCACAAGCATCAGGCTCATGGCGGTGGCCCCTGGCCCCTGGTTCCCGGCTCGGTCGCACAGGTCGGTGCTGCCGCGCTCGGAGTGCCTGGGAGGGAAGCTCTTGGCCGCTCCCCTTCGTCGCCAAGGTTTGCTCGCACTTCTCCGTCCGTCCCGTTATGACCAGGACAGCAGTCAGCGGGCAGAGGGGCAAAGGTTAGGGCCCCGGTGGGGACACCTGCTGTGGAACCCTGCGGGGCTGTCTGGGCGCAGCGAGCCCCTCAGGCCCAAGGTTCCCCCTAAGGATGTAACAGACCCCACCTACCCGCCTCGGGTTTCCCTCCGGAACGGGTAGAGCCCATCAGGCGTGGAGCGCGCAGCGCCTAGAGCCACCAGCCAGGAAGGGTGGGACCTGAGAAGGACCGAGGGGAAGGGGGGAACCTTATAAAACAAGACCCTCCCCATAGTCTGCTGGCCTTCACTTTCAAATGGGCCCCGTCTGTGAAGAGAGCGTTCCTCCTCGGCTTCCTGTCTCATCCCGTCCCCGACCAGCTTGTGCGGCTGCTCCTGGTGGGTCCACCTCTCCGTCCTTCGAAGTGCGGGACGCGCGTCCCGGGGACTGTGGTCAAAAGTCCTGCAGCAACATCGAAGGAACGCGCAGAGGCTGCAGGTCTGTGACCACATCTGGGCCTTGCCCTGACCCCGGACCCCTGACCCCTGACCCCGGGGCGGACTTGCCCTGCAGCCTGGGCCCAGCGAGCACCTGGGCCTCCTCTCCTCCTGCCCCAGCAGCACCCTGAGTCCTGAGCCTGAGCCTGAGCCTGAGTCGGGCTGCAGGGCCCCGGGCTGGATGGTGCTCGCAGAGCACCCTTGGGCGGGGCCTGGGCCCTGCGAGGAAGCCAGCTTGCAAGTCCCCTGGGGATTCTTTCTGACCTCCGGCTTCTTTTTATTTATTTATTTATTTATTTATTATTTTTTATTTTTTTAAAAATATTTTTATTTATTTCTAGGAGAGAGAGAGAGAGAGACAGCGTGAGCAGGGGAGGGTCAGAGAGAGAGGGAGTCACAGACTGAAACAGGCTCCAGGCTCTGAGCTGGCAGTCAGCACAGAGCCCGACGCGGGGCTCGAACCCACGAACCGTGAGATCATGACCTGAGCGAAAGTCGGACGCTTAACCGACTAAGCCACCCAGGCGCCCCTCTAGCTTCTTTTTATAGAGTGAGGCTGGTCACACCTCTTCCAGGTGTGGGGGTAGTCCCGCCCCTTCCCCACCCTGCCCCGCACCCCATCCCACACACCCTCACCACGCCCCTGCCCCCCCACCCTGCCTGCCCCCCCCACCCTGCCCCGCACCCCATCCCACACACCCTCACCACGCCCCTGCCCCCCCACCCTGCCCTGCACCCCATCCCACACACTGACCCGCTGCACCCCATGCCCTGCCCTGCCCTCTATACCCCCTCCTGCCCCACGCCCCTGCCCCGACCCCCACCCTGCCTGACACTTCATCCTTCTGGCTTTGGGGAAGACAGAGCCTGGGAAGAGCTGGGAGGGAAGGGACTCACTTTCCGTCTGTGAAAAGCAGGCTTGCAAACCGTTCGGGCAGAGCCTACAGGTACCAAGCAGGTGCTGCCGGCAAGGCTGGCGCGGCCGTGGCCCCACGAGGCCCAGGCTGTGGGGGACAGCGGGGTGCAGAACAGAGGCCAGCATCAGCCACCGAGGAAGCCCCAGGGCCCGGCCACCGCAGGAAGGGACGCGGGTCCCAACCTGCCGCCCAGGACCCAGGAGGGGCCTGGGTGCAGGCTCGAGGTGCTGCAGGGAGAGGGGCAGGTGAGAGAGGGCCAGGGATGTGGGGAGAGGCCTCCTCAAACAGGGAGTTGAGGGGGTCCTGGAGAAGGAAGTCAGGGGAGCCGGCGAGGGGCTCAGACAGGAAAGCCGAAGACCCTGGGTGGGGAGCGGGAGAGGGGAGGCTGGGAAAGGCCCCCCATAGTGTCGCCCTTCCTTCCCCCCGCCCCGACACAGCAGCAGAGCCAAGTCTTCCTCCTGCCGCCCGCCTCTGACGGGACATGCCGCCTCCGACAAGCACAGCGCCCCGGCCAGACACCCCCAGCGCCACAGCTTCTCCAGCCTGGGCTCAGACGGACAAGTAATCAAGATAGCATTTGGCGGTTTCTCGAATCAGGCAAGGCGCTTGGCCTCACCCCTCCCTTCGGGGCAGGGGCAAAGTTGAGAGGAGGCAAGAGCCCAAAGCAGCCCCTTGGCAAAGCGGAGAGGGCGCTGGGGTCTCTAATTTTATCCCAGGGGCCCCATCATGTGCTTGGCCGGAGAAGACGATGCTTTAAGAGTGCAATCTCTCTGAGAAGTCGGCCTTGTTCCTTCCATGGCTTCGGAGCCCCGGCCCCTCTCGCAGAGACCCTGCAGCCCGCATACCAGACATGCCCACACAGACCGGAGTCCAGCGCCCAGGGCCGCTGGTGAAGTTTTGGGGTGATGGGGAGACCATACTTCCTGACCAGCCCCTGAAATGAGAGTAAAGGAAGAAAAGAGAAAGGACTCACCGAATTTGTACCGAAGCCCAGAGTCCAGACGAAAACACTCCTCGCCCCACGCGTTGGGCGCCATGTGATGAAGCTTTGGGGCGATGTGGGGTTCATCGGCCAAGAAAGAATTCTTGAAGACGTTTTTGGTGCAAAAAGGTGATTTTATTAAGGCATGGGGACAGGACCCGTGGGCAGGGAGAGCTGCACTGGGGTTGTGGGGAGGGGGGTGACCGTTTCATGGACTCGGGGGGCTAAAGTGAAGAGGGAGTTTACAGAGAGACTTTCGCTGGAGACTGAAGACTTCCTGGAGGGCTGGCTGTGGCCAGCTGAGGTGGTTTTTCCCTCTGGCAAAGCATTAGCCCTGAGACAGTAGGCAGTTCCTGGGCTTAAAAAAAAATTGTTTTTAATGTTTTATTTATTTCTAGGAGGGAGAGAGAGAGAGACAGCGTGAGCAGGGGAAGGTCAGAGAGAGAGGGAGATACAGACTCTGAAATAGGCTCCAGGCTCCGAGCTGGCAGTCAGCACAGAGCCCGACACGGGGCTTGAACCCACAAACCGTGAGATCATGACCTAAGTGAAAGTCGGACACTTAACCGACTAAACCACCCAGGTGCCCCGTGCTTTATTTTAGTAATAGCCACGTAATGGGCGTGACTGGTCCCTCTGCAACTCCTGAGGCTCTGCACGTGCGGCTGCTCCTGCCTCGAAAAGGAACTTAGAAAACTACATTTCCCAACCTCCCCTGCTGCTGCAGGTGGACATGTGACTTGGCCCCACCAATCAGGGGTGTCAGATGGGACTGGAAAGGCGCCAAATCCAGAAGCCCACCCGCAGGCACAGAGTGTGGCGGGTTCTAGGCGGTGGTGGAGGCACCCTCTGCAGACTCCCTCCGCTGTGGCAGAGGCGGGTGGCTCTGGGGCGCAGCCACGCGGGTCGGTGGCGGAGGCCGGAGCTGGCCACTTCTGCAGCGTGTTTCTGGGAGTGATTTCTGAACGCCTGGCCTGTGCGAGTGCCCACAGCGGTTGAGGGGTCAAGGGGGTCGTGGGGTGTTCTCTGCACTAAAAACTCACCCCCCAGAGCGTGGTCCTGGGGGCTGACTCGGGCAGCCGCAGCCGCAGCACCTGAGGCTGGAGACCCGAGTCGTGTGCCCTGCCTTCCAGACTCTGCACCTGACTCCGCAGACGCCGGTCCTCCCGTGCACTGGAGGGTCGGGGGAAGGTTTGTTATAAAACAGCAACCCTGCGTTTCCTCGGAAAGCAGCCTAAGTGCGTTCACTGTGTGCAGTCACAGAGCTTGGCTCTGCCTCAGATCCCGCTGCTGCTTGCACCTGCTTCCCTCTCTCTACGGACCAACTTCCTTCTTCCTGCTCATGCCTGCCTTTCCTGGCTGCCGGTCACCTCAAGAGGTGGGGGTGGGGGGTCTGGCTGTGGGTGGCATCTGAGGGAGGCAGCTCTGCCTGGCTCCCCCTTCCTCATGGATGTCTGTCAAGGGAGAAGGACAGGGGAGGCTAGGGAGGTGGAGGGCTGTGGTCAGGATGGAACGGGGGAAACGGGCTCCGTGTTAGCACCAGGAGAGCAAGGCTCACTGCCTCTGCTTGTCCCCCCCCACCCGTTTCAGAGCTACCGCCAGAGCGAGGAGCGTGCGTCAGCACTAGCATTTACTGAGTGCTTTCATTCCATGCCTGGTACTTTTCAATGTGCGTTCTAGAAAATGGCACCTAGTTTCGGCTAAATTACAGCATTCTTGTGCACCTGAGGGTGTAGATGTGGATGAGGCCAGTGACTTGCACAAGATCCTAGATCTGATGGTGATAAAGGCTTGTACTTTGGGCCAATGCCCGACTCATTCACTTCACCAGGTCACCAAATTGTGGCGTTTTAACAGTCAGGGATTTTCAGGGTGCGAGGGTGGCAAGAACAGCGTGCTGGAGAAATCCGCGGAACAGGAGATCTGGGCGGAGCAGAACAGGAAGTTCGCTAGAAGGGCTGCACTCTCAGGTACAGAGAAAACAATGGAACAAGGCAAGACCAAGGAGCCTGAAGGCTGAGCGCAGCTGTGAGGGGATGTGGGGGGAGGGTTCCAGAAGCAATGATGGGGCTTCCTGTCGGCAAGTGGGGTTTGGGGTCTGGGAGCGGATGATTGGCAGACGGCAGGTTCCCAGATGAGGTCCCAGGGCGGGGTTGCTGGAGACCATCAGATGAGGTCAGGAACTGGGTGCTGGGGGCCAAGGTCTTCTGCGGACAGAGAGATCAGGCAGGAGGCGTGGTGCCTGCGTAGGGTTAGCAGGACAGGACCTTTGGGGCAATGGGAACCCACAAGAAATGGGTGCAGACACCGCCTCAGACAGCAGTGACTCCTGGGTCACTGCCTCTCTGTGGGGGATGGAAGCGTGGTCTCGCAGAGGGTCCCAGCTCAGCCCTCCCCTCACTGGGCAGGTGGTTCCTGATAACGACCGAGAAGCTGGTGAGTTCCTGAAACCTCGCTCTTCCTGGGTCCCTGCGCCCGGAGCCTTGCAGCAGCCGGAGGGCCGGGGCTCCCTCACCGCTGCCTGCCGCTCTCTCTGCCAGGGTCCAGGTGCTGGGTCCTTGCCACCACCTGGTCCCTGTGCACACGGCTTGCACACGACCAAGGAGGGTTCTCTGAAATCACAAAACCACAGGCTCTTGAGACAGCGTCACAGCAACCCCACGCCTGCGTCCTTGCGGACCCTGCGGGGGGGGGGAGGTCTGCAGGGTGTGTGTGGGGGGTAGTGGGGGGTCAGCGGGGGCAGCGGGGTGTGCGGGGGGGCAGTGGGGTGTGCAGGGAAGGGTCTGCGGGGTGTGCGGGGGGGCAGCGGGGTGTGCAGGGGGGCAGCGGGGTGTGCGGGGGGGCAGTGGGGTGTGCAGGGAAGGGTCTGCGGGGTGTGCGGGGGGGCAGCGGGGTGTGCAGGGGAGGGCAGCGGAGTCTGGCCAGAGAGGACACTGCCCCCAGAAAGGGCCCCAAGGAGGCCTTTTTAGCACCCGGGCGGCCCATCACCCTGCTGTCTGCTCTTGGGCTCTGGGGTGGGAGGGCGTGCGCCCAAGTCCACTCCCCTCAGCCCGAGAGGCCGGGCGGTGTCACTGCAGCTGAGGTGGCCTCATGGCTGGGGGACGAAGCAGTGGCTCAGAAATGCTTCTTTCGTTCGAGCAGAGGCCAGTGAGTGTTGCTTTTCTTCCCTCGCTCGTGTCGAAGGCCACCTTCTCCGCCAGCGCTCTGACCAGCACCTGACTCCTCTCTGGTGTCTTCCCTGAGCGCCATTAGTGCTCAAGTCACCTCATGGCTGTGGCCGTGTCCGCGCACCCATGCCCACCGGCGCCCAGCGAGCACCTCTCTCCTTCCATAGGCTCCTCACTTCCTGCCGCCCCCCAAGAAGGGGTCAATATTCGCCTCCTCGCACCTCCCTGCCCCACCCAGAGCCCCCCTCACGGACTGCGGCCCCCCCCCCCGGTGTCTGCCGCGCAGCACTGAGCCGAACCGTCTCCCCTGGGTGCCGGTGGACTTGACTTGAGGCGGGGATTTGCCTGCTGGTTCTCCCCCGCTTTTTATTTCTGTGTCTGCTTTTTATTTTTCTCTCCTTCACAGTTGTGTCCAAGGGCGTGGGGGCTCCCCAAGGGCACCCTTTCCTGTGTGATACGCTGCGGGGCCGTGTGTGTGACGCAGGCCCAGCCCCACGTCACCAGAGCAAGTCCACACGGCTCCCGCGGCCGCCATCACCTCACTTGTGCCCGGGGTCACAGCCGCGGGTGCCTGGGCGCCGGGGCGGGTGGCCCTGTGGAGCAGCGCCCACTGCCCCCGTGCCTGCCCCGCGCCGCGCCGCCCTGCTCATCCGGAGAAGGGTCGGCAGCCCTGACCCTCGATTAGATGATCCGCGAGCCTCTCTCTCCTCCCCCTTCTTTGCTCTCCGCCCGTGGCCTTGCTTCTCATTTCTCCGCGGACAGGAGCCCGTCCCCCCCTCCCCGGTGTAGCAACGTGCTGGGGTGACGCCATCTTCCCCTGACCTTTAATACCCAGTCCAGCTGCCCTCCCCACTGTCTCTCTCCTTCCTTTTATAGAAAAATGCCAGAGACTCGTCTCTATATGATGTTTCTACATCTCCTCCTCTGGAATCTGGTTAGAAGATTTGCCCCCCCCCCCTTTCCACCCCGCCACGACGCAGGCCCGGGGCTCAGTTTCAGTCACCAAGGCCCTTCCTCAACCAGCAGCACTCGGTGCCACGCCCCCTTCCCCGGGGACCCTTCCCCTCTGGCTGCTCCCCAGGCTAGGTTTTCAGACTTGTGATTTGTGATGCAATTGCGGGTGGCCTCTCTGCCCGTGGCTTCGCTTGTCTCACAAAAAGTTATCTCCATCTCCTGCTTCCCTGTTCAGGAAAAAAAATAATGAGCACTTGGATATAAGGTGAAAAGACGGTGACCTCATGAGAAAGAGGCTTGCGGACATCTGCTGAGCCGCTGCAGCTGGCCTCGGCCCACCCGGCCTCCACCCTGCCCTCCACCCTGCCCTCGGAGCTCACCCCGTGCCTGGTCCCCTCTGAACTGCCGCTCTTACTAGAATGTAAATTCCACGAAGAAAAGGCCTGCTTTGGAATCTGTCCTGTGTCCCAAATACTCGTACAAAAGGTACAAAAATACTCAGCGAATAGCAGGTGCTCAGTAAACACGTACCCAGTGCGTAAAGGAGCTGCTGTTCACGTAGCTTCTAAAATGCCATCACTTACGATGCCCCTTGGAGAACAGTGTGCTCACGGTTGGAGAACGGTGTGGGCAAGGCGGGCAGAGGGAGCGAGGCAGGGGCAGAGACATCAAGAAACTCGGTGCTTCCTGTGTGCGGGCACCTCTCACTGAAGTGTCGCAGTGGGAAACGTGACTGAGCTGTCCAGGCTGCTCGAGGCTGCATTAGCGATTTCACGGGTCCAGGACACTGGCCCGCAGACTCTTCTCCCCATAAAGAAAAATTCACCGGGGGCGCCTGGGGGGCTCAGTCGGTTAAGCATCCAACTTGGGCTCAGGTCATGATCTCACAGTCCATGGGTTCAAGCCCCGCGTCGGGCTCTGTGCTGACAGCTCAGAGCCTGGAGCCTGCTTCAGATTCTGTATCTCCCTCCCTCTCTCTCTCTCTTTTTCTCTCTCAGAAATA